CCGCGCCTGCGCTGACGGCGCCCGGGCTCCACAGGCGCAGGACGCGAGGACGCAGTTCGAACCTACAGATTCTCGGGTTGGCGCCCCGCGCCTGGGCGTCGGCGGGGGGCGTTCGAGCCAGTGCGTGCGATCTCGTCGCGGGAGGAGGGGTAGTCAGGACAGCACGATGGTGGGCTTGTTTTCCACCACCACCACCATTAGTAGGAGGGGCAGGGGGTTCTTCTCCTCCTCCTCCTCCTCCTCCTCCTCCTCCTCTTCTTTCTCCTCCTCATCCTCCACCTGCTCCCCCCGTCCAACGTATGGTGGTGGTGGTGGAAAAAAAAACCCATCAGCACAACACAGCGCAACCAATCCCAACCCCGCCAGGACCCCCACTCCCCTGGTGATCCAGAGGGGGTCTGGCTTGGGGTGGGAGTAGCTTCCTGGCCCCCAGGCCACCCCAAACACGCCCCCGCCCCCGGCCAGGCACCCCGTGGATCGCCAGGCCGAGGGTGGGGCCCTAGAGGGCGTGGGGGTGGGTTGAGCTGCCCTCAAGTCGGAGGAGGATGAGGACAGAACAGTGTCTAGTCGGCGCGAGCCGTCAGCCCCACCGAAGAGGGCCAACTTCAGCCTGGCTGCCGCCTCCGGCGGGCGCCGCCGTGGTCCGTCCTGCAGGAGGGCGCCTACCAGTCGGCCTTGGGGTCGATGGGCGTGACCTGGGCGGCGACTGCGACTGCGGCTGCTCTCTTCCTGCCCGCCTGCCTCGCTCGCTCCCTCCTTCCCCGCTCCTCCCCCTCCTCTACCTCCTCCTCCTCCTCCCTTCTCATCCTCCTTCCCTCCTCCTCCCTTTTCCTCCTCGTCCTCCTCCCTCCCTCCTCCTCCCTCCTCCTCCCTTTTCCTCCTCGTCCTCCTCCCTCTTCCCTCCCCATCGTCCTCCCTCCTCCTCCCTCCTCCTGCTCCTCCCTTCTCCTCCTCGTCCTCCTCTCTCCTCTCTCATCCCTCCTCCCCCGCGTCCTCCTCCTCCTCCTCCTCCTCCTCCTCCTAAGAGAACAACATGAGAAACAAACATAGGAGCATACAGAACAGGAGCAGGAGGAGGAAGCGGCAATATCACTGGCACTCCACGCAGGCCGTTGTTTCCAGCTCCTTCGTTACTTATTATCATATCCGCCTCCTCCCCCTCTTCTTACCATCATCATCATCATCCCGATCCGTCTCCCCCTCAATTGAGTTTTCTCATCCTACTTCTCCACTTCGTTTCCCTTTCCCTCCCCCATCGTCCTCCCACCCGTCTCTCTCTCAATCCCCTTCCTTCCACACCCTCCTTTTACTCACCTTTGCCCTGTTCGTTCTCCACCATGCTGACACTCGTCGTCAACTTATGCATCGACCTCCACCTGCCCTGCGTCCACACCTGCCTATCGCCTATCTGGCCGCCCCCTCACCTCCTCCTCGGCCCCTTACTCGGCCTCGGCTCCCGCCTCCACCGCCTCCCCCCCCGTCGTCGTTGTCGTCGTCCTCCTCATCCTCCGCGTCCGCCTCATCCCTGTCCTCCGCCAGCGCCGCCGCATCCTTCTCATCCTCGCACTCGTCTTCCTACATACGCAGGCGGGCACAACATGCCCAGAAGCCTCCTCGCTCACCCGTGCTGTTCCCCGCAAGCGCGCGAGGGAGGGAAGAGTCACACGCACACGCAAACGCACACGCAAACGCACACGCACACGCACACGCACGCACGCACGCACGCACGCACGCACGCGCGCACACACGCACACACGCACACACGCACACACGCACACACACGCACACACCCACACACCCACACACCCACCCACCCACACACCCACCCACCCACACACCCACACACCCACACACCCACGCACGCACGCACGCACGCACGCACACACACGCACACACACACACACACACACACACGCGCACACACACGCACACACACACACGCACACACACGCACACACACACACACCAACACGCACACGCACACGCAAATGCACACGCACACGCACACGCACACGCACGCACGCACGCAAACACACACACACACCCACACACATGCACACACAGACACACAGACACACAGACACACAGACACAGCCACAGCCGCACACGCACACACGCGCGCGTGTACACACACAAGCGCACCCACGCACCCACACACGCACACACACACACACACACACACACACGCGCACACACACACGCAAACACACACACACACACATACACACACACACACACGCGCACACACACACACACACACACGCGTTGCGCTTGCTCTTCCACTCGCCCATGCTGCTGCTTCTCCTGCTCCTGCTGTTCCTCCCGTTCCTGCTGCTGCTCCTCATCCGTCTCCTCATCCGCCTCCCCCTCTCCTTCTATCCTCCCCTTCCTTCTCCTTGTCCTTCTCCTCCTCATCCTCCTCCTCCTTCCCAATTGTCCTCCTGCGCCTTTTCCCCCCGCCCCTCCCCTGACGTCCTGGGGCCAAGGCCTGTGTCTGAGATCTCCCGGGAGGGGGTGGGGAGGACCAGGACCGAGGACCGCGAGGATTGAGGAGGATACACACGGCATGCAGTTGGCTTAAAGTTACCAAGAGAAAGAACATTTGGAGATGCGGCGGTCATCGGCGAAGAACGGGAGACTGTGGGGCAGTGTGCGGAAATCCGTGCTGCCAGAAGCCAGTAGTTGACCGACAACGGGCCACCCCACATCCTTCAAATGAGTGGAATGGCCGGGATCAAGCGCCAGTGGCCGTGGTGGGGCTAGTGCGTGGGGGCGATGCCGCGATGCCCGTGGTCTTGGTGGAGCGAGTCCACGGAGAATCCGCTTCTCCGGCCGCCCCAACATGAGATCTCGGGCACGGGCTTGACACTCACCAGCAGACTTCGACTCGGGCGGGAACTCCTGGAGCCGTGGCTCTGGAACTCCTGGCCTCTGAAGGCCTCCGCCGCTCCTGCTGGGTCGACCGATCACTCCTGCTTTGCGTCGCACGCGGCGCGACAAACTGTACACTTTCCGACCTTGAGCAGGGACCGATCGTCCCGACATTCCTATAGACCAACCACGACATGTTCTTAGAACCCAAACATATTCTAACAACTAAAACAATGTTCTTAGAACGTGAGCCCGATGTGTTAAAACAAAAAGGTCCCAGCAAGAAATGTTCTAAGAACGTATCGTGGCAACCACACAATGTGATTAGAACATTGTTTGGTAGGCCAAGCACGCCAGGATGCTTCACCACTGCTTGAAGACCTCTCGCGGCCTCCGGGGGCAGGGTCGCACTCAAGCACTGGCTTCGTGCCGCGGCGCGCGAGCGTCGGGTGGGAGCGTGCCCTGCACGGGCCCGCCGAATGGAGGAGGAGGAGGACAAGGAGGAGGAGGGAGGGAGGAGGAGGAGAAGTAGGAGGAGGAGGCGGAGGACCAGTGTTAAACCAAGAGTCATCAACGATGTTGGAACTAACCCTCCCTCCAAGCTCCCTCTTCATAGGCCCCCACAACGGTTCATTTCTATTGAGGAAACTGCCTCGTTGGAAGACAACCGTTTGAAGATCCTGAAGCATACCAAAACATGGTTCTCGGGATTCCAGCGTCACGAATCAACCTGACTGCTGCGTCTTGACGATCCGGAATCGTACCAGAGCGCCATTTTTTTTGACTTCCACACCGCGAATCAACATAACTGTGTCACCAGCAAAACCCTGAATCCTTCCAAAGCACCATTTCTGGTACGCTGATCATCGGAATCCGTGCAACTCTTGCTCAGTTTTAAAATGAATGTGCGCGGCGCTAAGGCGAAAGCCACAGTTTCAAAACGATCGGCCTTCAATTCGTGAAATGCTTGCAAATCTTAATAACGTATGTGCGCGGTGCTGAAGCGAGAGCCACATTTTGAATAGGAGCCGCCCTCACTCCGTGAAACTCTTGCAATTTGTTAGAACGAATGTGCGCGGCGCTAAACCGAAAACCACAGTTTGAAAACGACCCGCCTTCAACCCGTGAAATGCTTGCAAAATTTTAAAAGCGAATGCGCGCGGCGCTAAAGCGAGAGCCACATTTTGAAAAGGAGCCGCCCTCAAACCGTGAAGCTCTTGCAATTGTTTCAAACGAATGTGCGCGGCGCTAGGGCGAGAACCACATTTTGAAAACGACCCGCCTTCAATCCGTGAAACTCTTGCGGCGCTAAGCCGAGAGTCACATATTGAATACCACCCGCCCTCAATCCGTGAAACTCCTTCATTTGTTTGACGAATGCGCGCGGCGCTAAGGCGAGAGCCACATTTTGAAAACCACCTGCCCTTCATCTGTGAAACTGTTGCCACTTCTTAAGCTTCAGAATCATAAATGGTGAGGAAGTCTCAGGCCAAACGCCCGGCCAGCTTAAAAAACTGGCCATGGGGTGCGACAGGGAGGAGTTATCCATAAGGAGAAGGAATGGAGGAGGAGGGAGGGAGGAGGAGGAGGAGGGACGGAGGAGGGAGGGAGGAGGAGGAGGAGGAGGAGGAGGAGGACGAGGGAGGAAGGAGGGAGGAGGAGGAGGGAGGCAGGGAGGGGGGAGGGAGGGGAGGAGGAGGAGGAGGAGGAGGAGGAGGAGGAGGAAAGGAGGAGGAGGAGGAGGAGGGAGGGAGGAGGGAGGGAGCAGGAAGGGGGTGCGGCGTGCGAGCGTCGGATGGGAGCGTGCCCTCCGCCCGTGGCCCTCGCGCTTCCTGTCTTCGCACGGGCCTGCCCAAGGGAGGAGGAGGATGGCGATGACGATGGCGATGACGACAACGATGACGATGACGATGATGCTGATGATGACGATGTTGATGATGATGCTGGTCATGATGATCATGCTGATGACGATGTGGTTGATGATTCGCAGTAGAATGATGCTCATTTAGATGGTGATGATGCCGATGACGACGGTGATGATGACGATGATGATGATGTTGATGAGGATGATGATTGTGGTGGTAACGATGATGATGCTGATGATGCTGATGCTGATGATGATGCTTGTGCTGATGATGGGGCTGATGATGAGGATTGCCCGTATCATGATGATGATGATGATCATGATGATGACAATGATACTGGTGATGATGATGATGACGATGACGATGGTGGTGGTGGTGGTGGAGATGAGGAGGATGAGGAGGAGGGAGGATAATGAGGGAAGGAGGAAAGGATGAGGAAGACCAACTCCCGTACCATGATCTGTTTTTGAGAAGCGCCAGCGCCTTGATAATGAAAAGGGGGAGAAAGAGGAGGAAGAGGAGGAGGAGGAGGAGAAGTAGGAGGAGGAGGAGGAGGAAGAGGAGGAGGAGGAGAAGTAGGAGGAGGAAGAGGAGGCGGAGAAGGAGGGGATTTTTGGATTGCCTTCTCGTTGAGGCAACTGGCCTGTCGAGTTACGGTGGCGCTGCGGCTAGCGATGCAACTGAAAGAGCGGGATCGCACGGGCACCTAAGGATTGCAGTATACAGTACCAGTACACCAAACCCACTTCTCCTTACTATCCCACCCACCAATCCGACCCATATCAGACGAGAC